TGTCATTAGGAGTTAGAAATGTAATGGCTATGTAATAGATTAGATTAGAACCTTCATTCTCCTAAACTGCTGGGACATTTCCCTAAAGCCAATACCTTTATATTGTCTACTCTTCACTTACTTGTCAGCATAGGTCGGCATTGATGTACCGACAGAAGACCTTGTTTATATTGGCATCATATTGAGAGGTGCAGTGACGCGTCCTAAAACCAGGAAGTAAGCTGCTGGTTCCCTCGACAAAAAGAAATGGGATTTCTCCACAGGGTTTTGGAAAATAGCTGGAAATAAGGGCAAGTGGGAAGTACGTTATGATGGCCCGGGGTCTCTAAATAGTGCTTCCGGGCCAGCGGGCCATTTAATGTCGAGCCCTGCCGGTTACCGGCCAGCCCACGTCCCGAAAGTCCCGATGGCCAGTCCGCCCCCCTAGGGCATTAAGATCCCAGAGTGCAGGTCTGGTGGTGGTTCCCAGAGTCCACAAAAAAAGGTCAGGTGCTAGAGCTTTCGGCTACCAAGCCCCGTTCCTCTGGAATCAACTTCCAGTGACGATCAGGGAGGCAGACAGTGTCCACACATTTGAGAGTAGGTTAAAGACTTTCCTCTTTAGTACATCGTACAGTTAAGACTTAAGGTTTTAAACCCCCTTCATACATCCTCATGGACCCTTCGTTTAATGGAATTGTATTTATTGTACTCTAACTGTATTTGTGTCCTTGTGTTATGTTCCTTTTTAAATTGGTATTTTCACATTGATCTTATAAGAAACGTTTGTTGTTTTTGCATTCTTTTACATTGCCAATTGTGTTTGTTGACTTGTGAAGCCCTCTGAGACAAATAGGATTTGTGATTTTGGGCCATATAAATAAACTTGAATTGAATATAGCAAACATGCAAAGAAACACTATATCGATATAAGGTCTTTAAGATATTTTCTTTGATTGCTTGCGAGCATGACGACTCCTTCTGAGAGCGTCCTGCTCTTATAGGGAAGCATCAAAGATAATGACAGCACAACAACAATAAGCAAAACTCACACCCTACAAAGAACAATTGGGAGTCGCAGGTACCCCCTTCGAGCAAACGGCTACCTTTCCTCCTGTCTTTCCTGTAGTGTTATAAAACACTTCGTCTTACTTCTCAGACACAAGGCTTTAAAACACTTGGAAGGATACTACTTAGCAAAAAGTTACATTTCATTAGGATGACACTATATTAAGCTCTAATACCATAATGACCATAACAACACATATCTGAAGGAAAGCATCTCCATGTGTGCATCTGGACATGATGTCAGAATTATCGGCTGCATATTAATCTCCGTCAGCTCTGTAACGTGCGGGTGAGCGTGGGTGTAAAATGATATGACCTCTACTTAGACATATCTGAAGGAAAGCACATAATAGATGGCGGCTGACCACTGCCTTTGGAGCTGCGATCTGTTTTTATTTCCCAGCCAACACTTGTTCTGGCTCGCTGCCACCTCAGTCATCTGGGAGGTCGCACACACACCTAAACACACACACCTAAACACCGGTTTATCCGACGCCTCGTTTGTCCCGCCATGAGCTCAGCTTCAGTTAACCCTGGCAGGAGACCTGTTCCCTCTGAGGCTTGATTCAATGTTTGATTCCCAACAAAGAATCCAATTAACTGTTTTCAATGTGAAGGTAAGCACCTGATGATAACTCCTTTTGTAATGCGGTGCTTTTGGTGATTTAAAAGATGCATGTTTGGAAGGAAGTATAACTAAATAATGTAGTAAATAGATATGATTGAATTTAAGTGTCTGTTTACTACATTATTTAGTTATATACACACACTGTAAAACCTTTAGAGAAACCATATGATACGGAACAAATCCAGGAAGTTCAATTCGTTTTTTTTCAATAAAGGTATTCTCAATGTGTTCAATAGATATCTAGAGAATAAGTCCACACACAAGTTAGCAGCATGAATAAAACACCAAATGAGTGAACCCTTCTTTAAATACAACGTGTTTCATTAGAGAGCAGCAGGAGCTCTGGTTCAACACCTTAAGACATGCATCTTTATAAATAACACCTCTGCTTTCATGGTTATAATTAGATTGTTGAGATACTCCTGCAGCAGAAAACACTAAAACACATCAGTACCATAAAAGAACAGCTTACTGACAGAACACTAACACACAGCGTAATGATGTTGTGGACACACTGTTAATATCTCTCATTGAAAGCATTCACCGTGGAGACGCCTCTGACCTTTCTTCAACTCTGGGAACGAAACAAAGCTGGAACAAATTCACTGGAGGTGCGAGGTGACAGAAGCACAGTCGCAGTGTTTCTGTCTCCCTCGCAGACCACTTAGAGTCGACTGTTTTCAGAAGACAATCTCTCTCCCTCACCGTTTTCCTTCATTTCATTCCTTCATTTCATTCCTTCCCTCTCCCTTCCCTCTCCCTTCCCTCTCCCTCTCCCTCTCCCCTGCCGTGCCGTGGCCTCAATTCAAATATTCGCTGCGAAACATCTTTTTTAGAGCGCGCTGTGCTGCGAAGGCATAACACATATAAATGATTGTGTGGCGCGTGGTGATGAATGAAAGCTAATTCTGCTGAAGGGACATCTCTCAAAAGCTTCCTGAATAGATGCCACACCCATCACAATGCAGTAACCAATACTAAGAGGTTAGGCAGTGACGTGTCTATTTATAGTGTTTCTTTTTTAAATACCCGTGGTCATTTTTGCCTACAGTTCAAATTGTACACTGATAAGGATTTGGGAAACAGGCCGTGGTTCCTGATTAGACCGAGACGTGTGGCGCAGTGGACTAGTGCGTTGGTGTTCAGGTTCAAACCCCACTGCAGTCAGCATGTCGTTGTGTCCCTGAGACACTTCACCCCAAATTGCTCCTGTGGGGATTGTCCACAGTATGTAACTCGCTTTGGATAAAAGCATATATAACATGTACTATACTGTACCTGCATTAAGGCTGTACAGTATGTGTTGTATTTAAAATCAACACTTGGAAAAGCCTGGTAAATTGCACATCTTGCATTAATTAGACTCCTAAATATGGAAGAATAGTCCCCCAAAGTGTTGTTACTTTTTAAACTTACACTTTGTTTGCTGCATCTTTAGTTAGAAACACATTAAGGGGGCTTTAAAGGCAGCTGAAATGTTGTGGACAAGGTTGATAGATGTTTACCTACGTTTACCTGCCTGCGTGACCTTGTTTGGACACTTTCCAAGAACATACATTTGTGCTCTCTAGGAGTAAATGAGGTTTTCAATCGTTGTTACTCTGCTGCCAATTCTTCCCGGCAAACTTTGGAGACAAGAAAGCTTCGTATCGGACGAGTACGTGGGTTTCAGCCGGCTTCTCTTTCCCTCTGTTCAAACCTGGGAATCAACATGTGATATAATTGCTTTTCTTTGCCTTCTGTTCCTGTAAAATCCATATTTATGCAGGACTGACTCAACGACAACTTAAAGCCTGAAAAGTCCCTTCAAAATACCTTTTTATTTATCAGTTTGCAGACTCACTTCGGTTCCACTGCTTTTCATCCTCTGACTGTTCTGCCCTGCTTTCAGCCCACTCCACTTGGCACAACACAACAAGAACACTCAGGCTGAGCTGGACTGCCCGTGGTGGGAAAGGGCAGGAGAAGAGTGACACACACACTCCCTCCCACTCTCTTCTGAAGGAAACTGCTGGATATTTATCTCCAACCTCCAACACTCGTTTAGGCTCCTTCACAATAAGAGCATCTCCCTTTCATTTCCTGCCAGTGTGTTTCCATTCACCTCCACACACACTGAGCAAGCACCAGACCTCCACACACTCTGAGGAAGCACCAGACCTCCACACACACTCTGAGGAAGCACCAGACCTCCACACACTCTGAGGAAGCACCAGACCTCCACACACTGAGCAAGCACCAGACCTCCCACACACTCTGAGGAAGCACCAGACCTCCACACACACTCCCTCTGAGGAAGCACCAGACCTCCACACACACTGAGGAAGCACCAGACCTCCACACACTCTGAGGAAGCACCAGACCTCCACACACTCTGAGGAAGCACCAGACCTCCACACACACTGAGGAAGCACCAGACCTCCACACACACTCCATTCATCCTTCCTCTGAGGACCTCCACACACTCTCCATGCATTCTCT